AGAGTTTGGGCAGACTATCCATAGAGGAAACACTAAGTGGATGAAGAATATCTCTCAAAAAAAAAAAAAAGAATGTCTATCGTTTAGATGACAACATGCATTTGGATGGAAAACCTGTATAAGTTCTCCATCAATACGTATACCTGGGACAGATACTCCCAGGTGAACAATGATATATTCTCAAAATTAAGCAAGAAAAGAATGTGCTCGATTGCCTTTAGCAAATTGTAAAGCTTCTTTAATAACTCCAAGCTTCCCATGAAAGTAAAGGCCTATCTTCTTAATTCCAGTATCCTACTATTATCGCTACCTGGCAGTGAGATATAGAATACAATTATTTTGAAGAGTTAAGGATGAATATCACACATGGGAAATGGAGAGATACACTATGGGTATGAGCAGACTACAACATATAACCAATGAGGAACTCCAAAGGAGAAGAGTAATAGATGTCATGAAGAAATTACATGATAGGAAGAGAAACCGGGCTGGTCATGTAATGAAAGTGAAGCATGACAGGTAGTTAGCCAGAAAGCAAAAATGGTAGCCTTGCAGTGTCAGGAGTGAGTGAATAAAGCTGTCTCATAGCATGTGGTTTAGGTGGCATGTGGAAAAAGTTGGACAACATAGATAAGCATGGATGGGTTGTAATCTTTTTTATTAGAGGGAACTTTCAAACTGTGAAATCACAGATCACTTGACTATTTGGGAGTTTAATGATTTTTTTCCAACCACATCTTTTATTCTTCCAGTTGCATTTGTACAAAAGCTGTTAAATTTTATATAATTGAAACTACCTATTTTTCTTTTTATAATATGTGCAATATTGTATGTAAACCATATTTTTTGAAGCTTTTCTCTGAAAGCTAGTGTGGCTAGCCATGGAATCAAGAAGACTTGGGCTCAAGTGCTGCCTCCAGTACATATTGGTCCTGTAGTCATGGACAAGTCACTTAACTTTTCAGTGCCTCAGGCAAATCTGTAAGACCTTTAAGTTATGGATAAATTGCTGATTTGCGTTAGTAGAGGGAGGGAGTTTCCACACTGGGGGTTCTCCTATCCATAAAAGTCACAGGCCTGGACCAAAATAAAATTTGTGTTGGTGATAAATTCATTCTTTATTCACTGTTCTCTATTTTTTAATGACACAACATCTTTATCTAGAGAGTTTATTCCTTGGGAATTTATTGTGAGATGAGGGGTAACTTGCACAGAGTTTTGCTCTAATGTCTCTTCATGGTATTCTAATGACATTGCAAAGCTTTTTTACTTACCCCAAGCACCACGTGGAAGTACAGGCACATTTTTCAATACTAGCTTTTCAGTCAGTGTTGCTATTTCAGAAAGAGGGCAATGGAGAAGTGTGTGGTGGGTATGTTCATGGTAAATAATATAGTAAAGACCTCTGAAAAAGAATGGTAATAAAGGTTGTCATTATGAATTTGTATGATAGGAAGATGATAGGCTGGTCATGTATCAAGAACCAGGGGTTGACTTGCTGGTCTGTACCCCAAAGAGATCATAAAAATGGGAAAAGGACCCAAATGTACAAAACTATTTATAACAGCTCTTTTTGGGGTGGCAGAGAATTGGAAATTGAGAGGATGCCCATCAATTGGGGAATGGCTGAATAAGTTGTGGTATGTGGAATACTATTGTTCCATAAGAAATGATGAGTAGGCAGACTTCAGAAAAACCTGGAAAGACTATTTCCATTTTTATGGATGAGGAAACCGGGGAACAGAGGGGTTGAGTGATTTGCTCAGGTTCACAACTAGAAGATGTTTGAACATAGGTCTTCTTGACTCCCAAATTCAGTTCTCTATCCACTGTTATCATGTGATATCTGTCAAGGAGACTCTGGCTTTACTGTTACGGAGGGATCTCTGAACCTTATGGAATATTGTTCCCTGTGATTTTCCTTAAGGATTTTCTCCCCCTCTCTAACAAAGATAGCTCTTATTTTAGTTCCTTGAAGGCAAGGAGCGCTCACTGTCTATTTGCCCCTTCTTTACACCATATTATTGGCCCACACTTTTCCTGGTCACTAAAAATGGATATTTGGTGAAGAGTAAAGAGCATTGTAGGACCTGGGTTCAAATAGGGGGTCTGTCGTTTATTTGCATGTTCTTAGCCAAATCACTTAGCCTCAGTTTCTTTATCTGTAAAATGAAGGGGTTGACTTAGATGGCCTCTGAGGACCTTTTTATCCCATTCTAGAATTCTATATTTCTCACACAATTTCTTGAACCTACATCATTATTGGCTTAATATTACAACCTACTTGTACTCAGTATATGTACCCTTTGGTTAACTTGAAATTTTAATTCCTCAGAGACCAGGATGTTATAAGAGTCCATTAACATTGCTGGGAAAACATTTCTATTGAAAATATTGGTCTTTACATTGGAGTTCTGCTTGGGATCATTATAAGAAGTGCTTGGTTTCTAAAATGCAAGCCACTTCTCTTTTTTTCCAATCTATTCTGACTTCAAGTTATTGTCCATAGTATATAATAAAATCTTGCTTAATTGGATTATGGTTCTCAAAACATATTTTCTGACTTTCTATTTTATTTTTCTTTATATCATTGACCTTCCCATTTTTATCGTTCAAATCTACCTTTTTAAAGACTCATTTCTCTCCTTTATTCTCTAGTTCACCTGCCTTGAAGTCATAGGAAAAGTAACTGAAAGGGACTGACCTGAGAAATAATTTTGTCCCACCCCTTCATTTTACTACAAACGAAGATAATGAGGCACAGAGAGATTTAGTAACTTGCCAGATTCATACAGATAGTAAGTAGCAGAGCTGAGGTGAACCTAAAATTGCTGACTCCATATTTTGTCCTCTTTACAATTCAGTGAGCTGCCTCTGTATTATTCTTATGCAGTTTTATTTTATAGAGTTGTTGATAAATTACTTCAGGTCCCTTAATTCTTAAAATATTTAAAGAAATAGGACAGTTTGGTTGGATGATAGTGATTTGAGTTTCTATCACTTCTTTTTAAGGTCTGAGGAAGAGTCTATAGCCACTCATTCTTGTACCTTTAACTGTCCTTTTTTTTCTTGGCAACTTGTAATATTCTTTACTTCCATAGAACTATCTACCTTTAAAGTTTAAAATCTTGATAAATAGCTACCTGTGTGATTTTCTTTGAATTTTTTGCCAGTTGCTCCTATTTTGTAACTATTGCCTTTAGGCTTTACCTGTTTGATCTTCATTTGGTATTATAAATATTTATTTATCTGGCCTGGGTGGTTTATTTCAAATTTGCTTATTATTCTAAAATCTTAACAGGGTTTTTAAAGTGATTGTTTTGCTTTGCTTCAGATATTACCATTTGTTTTAGAAATAAATTTAGCTATGGAAAGAGTTGTCCTTCATTGTTTCTCAATTAAATTAAAAATAAGTACATAAGACACTGTGTTAGACTCAGAAAATTTTGAAATGACAATCTCTCTTCTCGAGCTTAAATTCTATTGGGGGAAATAATAGAAATATGCATTCTGTAAAGCATATAAAGCAGAATATGATGGGGTAAAGGAGAGATATAGTTGAGAAAGTGAGGTAGGACAATTTGAAGAGAAAAAGACCATAATCACCTTGAAGAGGTCTCTGAGCTTCAGAAAATAAGGATTCTTCTGAAAGACAGATGAGGAGTGAGTGAATTCACATTAGAGGCAGCTGGACAGTGCAGTAGATAAAGGGCCAGGCATCTATCTACCCAGATGGTAAACATCTACCAGCACACCCCAATTTATGAGGTTTTTATTTTATCCTTTTATTATTATTCAATTGAGAGAAAGAAAGGGGAAATGGGAGTAACATATAGTAAATGTATAATAAATAAATAAAATGAAAAATAAATTAGCTAAAAATAACAAAAATAGCCCAAGCGGCTCAGTTTTATAGAATTATTCATAATAAAACAAATTATAGAAAGCGTCCCAAGACCAAGACTAAAACTTACCAGTATAGATTGTGAGCACAGGCTCACAATCAACTGATTTTGCTTCACACATTACTAAGTATGTTAAATTATTCTAGATCAATTAAAAAAACTTTTCATTCGTATTATCTATTCTAACCAATCTGAAATGGCCTCTGCATTGGTTGATACTTTGTACATGACTAGCCCAAAAAAATCAAAGAGGAAATGTTTGTTGTATTTGTTTGTCTACCATCACAACTTTCTTATTTGTAGAAAACCTTGAAGTTGAGGGCACTTTCCTCCTCTATGTTTTAAAAATATATTAAGTACTTTATGCTTGAAAATTGTTAAGCTACCGATGAAAAAAATCAGTTAAAAATTCAATTGATTTTTTTAAAGCTGTTACCTTGCCAGTGTCATCATCACAATGATAAAATGTATTTTTGCTGAGTATCATGTGAAATATTGGATACATCTAGTTGTTTTGAAATTGGTTAAACATAACTTTTCAGTGTTTTCCCCATGTGTAAAAAGCATTTTAAAATAATTATGATAGTTCATTGCCAGTTTTGTATTGAGGCTTGTAAGCTGATACAAATACCCTGTGTCAGAGAATACTCAGAATTATTCATTGTGAGTACTGATATAATTCTCTTACTCAAATTTTACCAAAATAAAATAGAGGGAGGAAAGAGGAATGACTAATTAGGTACATGTTTTTAATATGTATCAGTGACTTCTCAGTTTTGTGGTATATTTATAGGCTTAGAAACAGCATGATTTAGTCAAAGTAGTGGTAAGTAGAGACTTAATTCTATTCCTCTTTGCCTACTTAGTAGACCTCTGAGTTGGAGCAGATCATTTTACCCTGTGACTTCAATTTCTACATCTGCAAAATGTCTATAATAGCTACCCTACCTATCACCTAGCACTTTTATGATAAAATATGATAAAAGTAAAAATATTTTGAAAGAAATGTTACATGCTGTATAAATATAAGGTATTGAGATTCCTTTCTAGAGTTTTCCATATTTTCAAGTGTTCTTGGTTTTATCTGTGACACAGGTGGCAGAAGCAACTGAGGAAACATCAGCTCTTCCGAATGGAGAACTTGGAGGAGGGGAACAGAATACTACAGAAGTAATAATTTTTTGTATCCTCTCTCCCAAACCTCAACTTGTTCAGAAACTCTTGTCCTCATCTTTCCATATATTCAGTTTAAAAATTTTCGATGGTTGTGATGTTTCTACCCAACCTGGTTTCTTGGATCATATCAGTTTTTCAAAGATTTATCTACTAGTCTTCAGGATTTCCTGTGCTGTCTTACGATAACCACCTTATTTAAACTCCTGGAAACTCTTTCTTATCCTTAACTTATCTTCTCTAACCTGCTTGATTTGATTAAAATAAGTACAGTAACTTAATGTAACAGCTAGTTTTCTATTTGGTAAAATTTTAGTGTTTCCACATTGCTATCTACAACTATCTGGGCTCTCCTCTACTCCCCCACCCCCATCCACATTCTTGTACCACATAGTCAGAAGGCCATGTGGTCCAGAACACCAAGGCATAGGCTTTCATGATCCCCTTTCATGAGCTGTGAAACCCTGAACAAGTTACTTATCCTCTTTTTTTTCTTTTTTTGGTGAGGCAGTCGGGGTTAAGTGACTTGCTTAGGGTCACACACCTAGTAATTGTCAAGTGTCTGAGTTCAGATTTGAAATCAGGTCCTCCTGACTCCAAGATCGGAGCTCTGTCCACTGCCCCTACTTAACCACTTACTGCTATAGGCACCTGTGTGTAAATTTCAGAGCAAATACCCACCTGCAATGGTAAAAGAATTTTCCTTATCAGGACTGCTTTCTGCCAATAAAATTGAAGGTCTGATAAGAAAAAAAAATACAGATGGTTTACTGGGACAGAGTACTATGCACTCTACTCTAGGCATAAGGATTAAGAAGAAAATATTTAATATTAGCCAGATAATCTTTTATCCCTGGAAACTATCATAGTTAATTACCAGTTCCCAAGATCTTCTCTGACTTAACATGCAAATGAATTTGACACAAAACAAAAGTAAGTAGAGGAGGCAAGACCCCTAGCCCACATTCCTGCCTTGGTTCCATATTTCTTTCAGCAGCAGAATCCCATAGCGTTGGTGGTATATTTTAGCCTGAAAAAAAAAAAAAACCTCTGCTCTCATCCTACACATGTAATAAGTAAGAACAGAACATTTCCCACCTTTTGCCCCACATAAGGGAAGGGTCATGCCACTATGTACAACATTTTGGTAGCTTAACTAAGCTTAACTATACTGTATGTTTCCTCTGTGTTCAGGGAACAGACAGTGCTGAAGTAAGTGGAAAAGATGAGGTGCCAAAAGAAGACAATGAAGATGCAGACAATCCTCCTGAATCAGAAGTAAAACAGGCAAGTGGTTTCCCTTTCCCTATTTTTAATTTTCATTTTAAAAATTCATGTTAATATGGGGACATCGAATATTTTTTAATCTTCAGGACCGTATTTTCTTGATACGGACTGAGAATTCTTTCAAATTTAGATGCTGCTAATTCAGAGGTTGTGATAAATTAGACACTCTAGGATTTCTGGGTTGATTAAGTAAATAATCCCAGTTGTGACTTGGAACCGAGGGTTGTATTTCATGGTGATATAAACCTTATTAGTTTGAATGTGAACCAGACCTTACTCCCAGCACCTCCCCCTTCCCCCTTTCTTCCATCAAATACATAAATATGCAGAGTTTGGTTTGCATAAAATTTGAACAATCTATGATTATGTTTTTAGTATCATAGGTGAAGAAGACATGATTAAAGTTAAGATTTTTGAAATTTTGACATATGTATACTTCAGTAGTTATTACAGTAGTAAAATAGTAGTTGTTGAGGTAAGTCTAGAAGTCTGTACATGCTTTATTTTTTTTTTTTTTTGGACTGGACCTCTAATTTCACTGGCATAGAGGAGTTTCAATGAGGTGATTCCTTCTACCAATATAGATTGTTACCTGCTCTGTAATTTTATAGTCCTGGGGGCCCTGAGAAGGTAAGTGAATTGTCTAGGGTCCCACAGCCTGTAAGTATCAGAAGCAAGGTCATTCTGATACAAGGCCAATGAATCAAGGTCATTCTGACTTCTAGGACAATTCTTAATACAACTTGTCATGGCTGTCTCCCTGAACATGCTTTGATATGGTAAATATATAGGTAAACACATTGAAAGAGTCATTTATTAAGAGACAGTTATGCAAATTTTAAACTTGTAGCTTCTGATGATGCTAAAATTACAAACAGTAGTGTGCAGAAGAAAAAATACCTCAGAATGCCATTACTGAGCAGAAAACATTATAAGGTTCTGAACATGGTAGAAAAAAGTGAGATTGATGAACTTATGTATTTCCCTCTGATTAGAGAGGGTAAAAGTTAGATAGTGGTGATATTCTCTCAAATCCTCTATTTAAGGAGGGCACCAATGGTGCAATCTCATCATTTTGTACACAGTTGCACTTTCTGTACTTCATTGGCTAGATGGCACAATGGATAGAACACTGCGCCTTGACCCAGGAAAACCTAAGTTCAAATCCAGATTCAAGGCAGTTACTAGCTGTATGATCCTGAACAAATCACTGAATTTCTCTTTGTCTCAATTTCCTCCACTGTAAAATGGAAATAATAATAACACCTACCTTGAAGATCTGTTGTGAAGATCAAATGAGATTATATTTTTCTAAATGTTTAACATATCTGAGAGAATGCATTGCATGTTTACTGGATATGTATTTATTCCTGTATGAAAGTGTATGCTTTCTCTTTAGGCTGAAAAGTGTATATACTGTATGTAACTACCTAATTAAAATGATTTTGTTTGACACGTTGTTTTGAATGGAAAATACTCCTTATCCAAACAAGTTGCAAAATATTAGACTATAATAACTGAAAAAGGACTGCACATAACTCTTCACCCCTTTTTGCCTTTGTGGACGTATTGGTATCAGGTTTATTTTTTACTTTGAGTATCTAATCTATCTAAAGTATCTAATGAAAAGATATTGTAGGTAATAGAAACAGTGGATTACATTTTGGGGGAGGGTTCTAATTAGAAGGGTAAGTATGTTTCTGAATACTTCATGACCAATCTACTACAATATTAGTATATAAAATGTTTGAGATAACTTGTTGTCCATTGTGATATGACACATCATTTTTTATTATTTGTTCCAAATGTTTTCATTTTTTTGTAAAGAATAAACAAGGAAATACTGGCCTAAAAAAAAAGAAAAAAAAAAGAAAAAAATGTTTAGCATAGTGCCTGGCAAGTAAATGCTTATTCCCTTCCCTCCCCCTCATTTTATCCTGCTCTCTTTTTTCTCTCAGAGTAACTACCCTAGCTTTCCACCCTCCCCTTGCTCCCCCTTTCATCTTCTTTACATGTCTTTAGCCATTAGACTGTGAGCTCCTTGAGAGCAGGGACTGTCTTGCCTTTCTTTCTTTGTATCTCCAAAGTGTAGTAGGTGCTTAATAAATGTTTATTGACTGACTGATTTGCAAAGTGTCTTGTCATTTAATCATAGAGAGAGTTGCGTAAAGCACTGTGAGGTTAAGCAACTTGTTTAAGGTCTTGCAGCCAGTATGTATTAGAAGTGGAACTTGAACTCAAACACTCCTGACTCTAAAACCTGCTCCCTAAATAAGAACTAGATTTAAATAGACCAGTCTCAAAAGGAAAAACCAGGAAGAACCTCCTTGCAAAAAGACACCAAAACTAGATGGATCCATAAGATAATTCTACTAAACTTTTAAAGAGCAAATTATTCCTATGTAGAAAAGTATAGATGGTTTCAAAACGTAACTACTATAGAAAATAAAAAACACCATAGTCAGTGGCCTCCATTTAAGACTTCAATATTACACGTCTTTATAGATGTCATTCCCACTCTCCCAAACCCCGCCCCAAACATAATTAATATCAAGAGCTCTCAGTTAACAGGCTATTCCTTTAATGACCACATATTCAAATAACTATTAATTCTTCACTGAGAATTACTCAAACTAAGAGTGTCAGTAACTATTTTAACAATAATACTAACAGCCAAGGCCTACCAGAAATTCCACAGCTAGGATTTCTGAATGATATTATTTATTAGTAAACACATTTGAATCTAATTAAGTATCTGATTAAAATTATAACACTCAGCTATGTCCTCAAGTATTAACCTTTTTTACATAAGAAAAGCTTCACATAGTATGGGGCATGGTTTATTCAAGCGTTTTCCTTTCCAGAGCAGCAAATATGAAACCAAGGAATGTAATTCAATATTTTCTTCTTATTATGAAAATTTAGAAATGCCTATGTGATATTCATAACTGAAACATAAAGATAATTTGATATAAGGAAGGTAGTCAGTTTTTAGGAGAGTTGATCTTTGACCAATCCCCTTCTCCCACCCCAGAAGTCCTATTACATTTGTAATTATGAGCATTAAGAGGCCCTTTCTCTAATGGAATTAAAGGGATCAGCTTTGTTGGACAGCAAAAATTGCATGAACTTTTGCAGGGTTTTAAATAGCTAAGACCTAAAGGCATTAGTTCAAGGCAGTGCAGGCTCAGGAGCTTTATGGAAGAGACCCCTGAAGATTTGAGACAGAGAATTTCTTGTGTCAAACAAAGTGTTAAGCAGTTACATAGTAACAGATAATCCATCAAGCAATTTAAGAGTTAATCAGTTTGAGAAAGTTTGATGCACAATTGAGGGGGCACAGATAAATACAGATAAAAAATCAGTAAATTGAGAGAGGAAGCAGCTTTTAGGAACAGGATCCATGGCAGCAGAGAAGAGAGTCATGGAGAGGAGCAAGATGTTGGGAAGAGAGCTAAGAAATCTGCCCAAGAAAGTTCAGCACAAGGACTCTATAAAGACAGAAAGAACTTCTACACCCTTCAGCACCAGGAGTTGTGAGTGCCCTTTCCTGTATGTATCTTCTCATGGATGTTTCATTATGATTATACTCTAAGTTTAAGACTGTTCTTCTGATAGGGGGAGTGTATATTTATGGGACAGTGTGTCCCAGGTTTATGGGGAGAAAATTTTGTTTTACTTTACCATCTGAATGAATGTATCAGTTAAGAGCTAATTATGAATCCTAGCTGAGAAATGAGAAGCACACTAGTGGTGGCTTATGAGCAATTCTTTTGGAAGAGCAACTCAATAAACTGCTCCTAGAACCTTAGAGTAGTAGAAGCTTCCCTCTGGATACCCAGCCTATGAGTGTTAGTGTGAGTTGGAGAGAGTAGTTCAGAAGGAGCATTACATAATAGATTTTCTTTATAAGAGAAAAATTCAAGTCTACATGATTATCTTAAATGAAGAGGAAAACCTTTTATAAAATACAGCTTGAAAAGTCCATGTGAGGAATGAATCAGATGTTCACATTTTGAGTGTGATCAAAAGAGCTAAGATCATTGCCAGTCGCCCATTACACTAATCCATACAAAATATTTAAATAAAAGGTAGTTCAAGAGCTAGGACACTAGCAAATTGGAGGATCAAGAAAGGCTTCACGTAGAAGTTGATGCTTAGGCTGTTTCTTGAAAGAAGACAGGGATTCTTTGAAGCAGAGGTAAGGAAGGACTACAACCCAGGTATGGGAAATGACCAGCGAAAAGGCATGGAGATGGGAAATTGACTGCTATGGATGAAGAATAGAGAGAAGATCAATTTTGCTGGATCTCAGAATGCAGATGTGAGAGTTATGCTGGAAAGATGACTGTAGGGCCACGTTATGAAGGGCTTTAACTGCTAAACATAGCTGTTTTTATTTTATCTTAAAGGCAATAAGGAGCCAGTTGGAGAATGACATGGTCAGATTTGCACATAAGGAAAAAAAATTTTGGACTGAATTGTGAAAAGATTTGAGGCAGGGAGACCAAGCAGGACACTTACGGTAATCCAGACAAAAGGTGATTAAATCTTGCACTAAGGTGGTAGCTGTGAGGAGTTAGATGTGATAGATGTTGTAGAGGTAGAAATTGCAAGATCTGGCAACCAACTGGATGTGTGGAATGAGGGAGAGTAAGGAGTCACAGATAATGCACAGTTTATGGACCTGGGAGAGTAGAAGAATAGTAATGCCTTCTACCAAAATAGTGACGTGTAGAAGAGGGGAGGAATTCTGGGGAAGGATAATGAGTTCACTTTTGTACATGTTATTTGAAATGTCTTTGGGACATCAAGTTTGAAATGTGTAGGAGGCAATTGATGAAGGAGAAGGGGCAGTCAGAAAGGGGGAGGGAAAACTCAGAAAGACTAGTGTCATAAACACATAGAGAAGAGAGAGTATCCAAGAAAGAGAGTGATCAACATGTCACGAACGATGAAGACAGAGAAAAGACCATCCAATTTGTCAGTTGATTGTTGGTAGCTTTGACAAGAGCAATTGATAGCTTAGAAGCTAGTACATATTAGAATGCCAGAAACCTTCAATGGCTCCTCATGGCCTACCAAAAAATATATATGCTCCATAGCCTGTCATTTACAGCCCTCCACAGTTTTCCATCAACCTACTTTTCCTTTCTTATTTCATTGTGCTTATTTTAGTCCATCCCATGTTCAGATAAACTGGACTATCCACTGTTCTCCTCTCCTATTTACTTCTGATTTTTTGTTGTTCAGTCATTTTTAGCCATGACACATACATGTTTGACTCTTAGATACTGAAGTGGTTTGCCATTTCCTTCTTCAGCTCATTTTAGAGATGAGGAGCTGAGGCAAACAGGGTGAAGTGACTTGCCCCAGGTCACACAGCTAGTAAATGTCTAAGGCCAGATTTGAACTCAGGAAGATGAGTCTTCCTGATGTCAGGCCTGGCACTCTATCGGCTGTGCCATCTAGCTGCTCATATGTAGTTTATTTGTACATATATGTTTGCTTGTTGTCTTCCCCATTAGATTATAAGTTCCTTGAAGTCACGGGTTGTCTTTTGATTCTTTGTCCCCCTAGCCCTTAGCACAGTACCTGGCACATAATAGATACTTAGTAAATGTTTATTGACTGACTAACTTCTATTTCATCTTGACCTCTCCTTCCTCTGTGCCTTTGCTCATGTTATCATTATTCTTGGATCAGACTCCATTCTTCTTTTCTTTCTAAGCTCACTCTGGTTTCCATGTCCTCTGTGAAGTCTTACTCTGGTATATTATTTATAATTTTATATTATCTTTTTATTCCTTATAAACAGAAAAACCCATTTTAATGGTCTATGTGGCTGGCAGTAAAAAGGAAAAGAGGAAATGAATCCTAGATTCAAATCCAATTTCCATGCCAGTGGCAGAAGAAATGAGAAAGATAATTAGGGATTTGGGGCAAGGCAGATCTCTGATTCTAAAGTGCTAAATAGATAGGGCCAAAAAAAGTCACAAGTCTGTATGTATCAAACCAAATGAAGGGATAGAAATAAGTAAAGGAAAAATTTATGGAGTCAAAAGCAAATGTTTGAAAAGGCGCTGTCATCCCCAGGGAGCTGATGTAGTTTGGCAATGTATTAAAGTAGTATGAGTTAGGATCATGAGAAATTTTAAGGAGTGGAGAGGGAAAATTGAAAGAGTTTGTATCAACTTGTCTTATTCTCAGTGAAGTAAGAGAATGGGTGAGAAATTAGAAAAAAATAAGAATAGGTTTAGTGGAAGAAGTGAGTGGATAGAAGGGTGTAGATAGAGTGCAGAATTTTGAAATCCTAGCTGAGTCTTAGAACTGGTACAGTTCAGTAAAATGGTAAAGGCTATGTTGGTTGTTGCTGAAGTAGGGCAGAGAAGTTGGTATTTGGATTTGAGGAGTTAGAGTAATTGTGTAGTTACAGTGTTAAAAGTGTCATGAACATTAATATTAAAGTCTGCAAAGATGATGGCAGGGGAGTTATGTTTGCAAACAATAGTAACAGTGCTAGGCAAACTTACTCTAAAATTTTTAAATGTCCAATCTGATTTAGGACTAATTTTTGACTGTATAGATTATTGATAACTCTGGTCTATTGGTTGGCTTTTTGCTGTAGAATATAGTAGATCCTAAACTGATATGCTTTGTCAAATATAACAAAATGCTAAATTTCTTTTACTGCCTCCCATTGGTTTTTCAGTCTTCTATACTATATTTAGATTTTTCTTTTAATTTTTTTCAATTACATGTAAAAATAAATTAACAGTCATTTAAAAAAATTTTGAGCTCCAAATTCTTTCTCTCCTTTCCTTCCCTCCCTCCTTATTGAGAAGGCAAGCAATTTGATAAAGGTTATACATGTACAATCATACTAAACATGTTCCTATATTAGTTATGTTGTAACTTTCAGATTTTTCCAAGCAAATGTTCTGAGTAAAAGAATTCTCTGACATGCAGCTGATTTGTTAATATTATGAGTCAAAGCTATATTTTAAAGAAAAACGAATGAAACACACTGGATTTATTTATCTTAGAGGCATTATGCTGCATTCCTATGTAGTAAAAGTCCACATTGTGTAATCTTATTTCAAAGGGTAGGGAGACTTATTTTTATACATTTTTTGGTCAAGGTTTTTTCAGTTCCCTTTACTACTTTAATTTTGAGGAATATCTGTAAATAATATTGTTATCTTTTATTTAAATAAGGAGGGGACCACAGAAGAGGAAGAAAAAGAGGAAGCAGAAGAGGAAGAAGAGGCAGAAGACTCTTAGTTCTTTTCATGCTTCATTTCTTCAAGTTTCTCAGGTATTTGTTTATTTGCTTGAAAAAAATTATTCCAGGAATGACTGTGATGAGCCATTGATATTAAATTTCCAGTGTCAGAAAAACAAATCTCAACATGGGCCATTTAAATGTGTCTTGGTCTCTTTTTCTAAGGCATTGGTTCTAAAATTCGAAAGGTCACACAGCCATGTCAATTGTTCACTACAACTTTATGTTATCTAGCTGTCACTGCAAGAAGGTATTTCTTTTACTCCTCCCTAACTGAATCCCTGTAACTTCCCCATAACAGCTTTTCCCAATTTTATCTGCTGTCCTCAACCTTCCACACTTCCTTCTCTCCCCTTCCACTCAGCAGACCTTGTCTTAAACTATACTGAGAAAAGAGAGCATTTACAATGTACTTTTTCTTGTCCATCTCAAAACATCTTATCACCTGCCATTTTCTCTTTTACTCTACTCGTTGAGGTAGAGGTCATTCTTCTCCTTGACAAAGCTTCTACTTGTACTATTGATCCCACCCACTTTCTGTCATCTCTAGCAAACTTCTCCTCTCCCCCTGTCTCTGTCTCTGTCTCTCTGTCTCTCTCTTTCCCCCTTTCCCCTTTTCCTTCTCCCCCTTTTCTCCTCTTACCCACTCCCACTCACCAATCTCTTCTCCTTCTCCCCCTTCTTCCTCTCAGCTACTCCCCCTCTTCTCCTTCTTTCCTGCTCTTACCCTCTGTCTTCCTCTCTCCCTTCCTCCATCCCTCCCCTTAATCTCCCTGCAAACATGCCCAAGTCTTCTTCATCCTTGAAAAAAAACCCTCTGAATTGATCCTAATATTTCTTTCATGTTTTGTTCTTTCTCTCTCATACTCTTCTCAGCCAAACTCTTATAAAAATTGTCCACACTCCTTGCCTCAGCTCCCTTTCATCTTATTATCTTTTCAACCCTTTGCAATCTGGTTTCGGACCTCATAACTAAACTGAAACTACTGTCTCTAAAGTTACCAGTGATCTTTTAATTAACAAATATGATGGCCTTTCTTGAACTCTCTGAATCCTTAACACGACTGACTACCTTTTCTCCCTGGAGACTCTCTCCTCTCTGGATTTTTGTGATACTGCAGCTTATTGGTTTTCCTTCTTGAAAAGGAAAGAAATCTGACAACTCCTTTTCATTCTCTTTTTCTGGATCAGCATTCATGTCACATCCTATAAATGTGAGTATGCCTGAGGCTCTTTCCTGGGCCTTTGTCTCTATCCTCTCTCTGTGATCTCTTCAACTCATAAGGATTCAGTTATTATGTCTGTGAAGATGACTCCCAGATCTGTGTGTGTATAGATATATATATACACACACATATATATACATATACATATATATACATATACATATAAATATATATACATATACATATATACACATATACATATAAATATATATATATATATATATATATATATATATCTACTTCTCATCTTTCTTCTGAGCTACAGTCTCACATTGTCAACTCCTATTGAACATTTCAAATTAGGTGTCATTTCAAACTCAGTACATCCAAAACAGAACACTCAGTTTTTTCCTCAAAATCCTCATCTCTTCAGAACTTCCTTGTTTCTGTTGAAGGGGTTACAGTCTTTCCAGGATATCATCTTCAATCCTTTATTCTCAGTCTCCCCACATAGCTAATCAATTGACAATTATTATTGATAATTCTAAACATTTCTATCATTTGTGCCTTTCTCTCTATTCACAAGATGATTACACTAGTTTAAGCCTTTATTACCTTTTGTCCATACTATTGCAATACCCTCCCAATTACTGTCCATGCCTGTCTCTACCCTTTCCAATCCATCCTCATCACAGCTATCATAGTGCTTTTCTGAAGGTCTCATCATGTCACTCCCCTACTCAATAAACTCCAGTGGTTCTTTATTACCTCTAGGATAAAATAGAAACTCTTCTGTTTGTCATTTAATATTCTTCACCACTTGGCCACATATTACTTTTGTAGTCTTATTACATGCAGCTTTAATAGTTTAAAATTATGCTAAGACTTTTGAGATACCGTATGTTACTTTGATTTATACATACTATAGACTAGCCAAACTGACCTCCTTACTATTCCTCACCTATGGCACTCCATCCACCTTCACAATGCCTTAGCACTAGCTGTCCCTCAGTTCTAGAATACACTCCCTCCTCTATTCCACTTCTTAGAATTCCTAGCTTTCTTATTTTTATTTTTATTTATTTTTTTGGCTAGGCAATGGGGTTAAGTGACTTGCCCAGGGTCACACAGCTAGTAAGTGCTATGTGTCTGAGCTCGGATTTGACCTGAGGTCCTCCTGAATACAGGGCCGGTGGTCCATCCACTGCGCCACCTACCTGCCCCTAATTCCTAGCTTTCTTTAAGGTTAAGCTCAAATCTTACCTTCTACATGAAGTCTTTCCTGGTTTCCTCACCTGCTAATAGGGAAAGGAATAAACATTTCCATAGTGCCTACTATGTGCCAGGAACTGTGCTAAGTGATTTTCACGAATATTATGTCATTTGATCTTCACAACAATCCTGTGAATTAGGTGCTGTTACTATCTTCATTTTATAGTTGAGGAAACTGAAGCAAATAAAGCTGAATTGACTTGCCTGGGTAACACAGATGGTGTCTGAGGCTGGGTTAGAACTCAGGTCTTCCTGACTCTAGGCCCAGTGCTCTATCTACTATACTACCAGCTGAAATTTTCTTACATTTATTGTGTATCTATATTGCTTATACCTAGGTAGTAGAGTTTTAAAGACCACCCTCATGTGTAGCCTAGTTGGGAAGTTGAGAGGAATATGTGTTATGCTGCAACAGTCTACAACCACACCAGACCCTCACCCTTTAGCTTGCTGTGTAATAAATTACATTATTGGGGCAGCTAGGTGGTACACTGGATAGAGCTCCAGCCTTGGAGTCAGGAGGACCTGAGTTCAAATCCAGCCTCAGACACATGACACTTACTAGCTGTGTGACCCTGGGCAAGTCACTTAACTCTAATTGCCTCACCACAAAAGACAAAAAAAAAAATTACATTATTTGTTCTCATTTAGGGTAATCAATGAATATATATTTATATTTATTCATAAATTAATAAAATAGTAACATCCTATTAATTATAGCTCTGGGACCCATTCTAGTTATTAACTATTAGCTATCAAATAAACTTGAGAAATTTTTTTTCCACTATAACCACTTTTTACTATAAACTTTTACTCATCTCTCTATGTATGGAACCTTTCCTTTTCCTAGGTTTAACTAAACATCCAATACAATAAAGAGTAAAACAGATATAAATAATTAGTTTTAGTATTAACCTCCTGTGCTAAGGAAAACTATCATCAGATCCAAAATGACAAGAAGCAGGGGAGATATCCTGTCATTTGAAGATGAGAGAGAGAGTCACGAGTAGCTAATTGAGATATTCTGTGACCAAACAGTGCCAAAGAGATCAAGACAAGCCAATGAGCATTTATTAAGAGCCTACTGTGTGACAGACAGTGCTAGGCACTGACAATAAAAAGAAAGGCAAAAAACAGCCCCTGTGCTCAAGGAGCTCACAGTTTAATGGGGTACAGGAGGTACGAGGTAGAGCTGTGTTGCTAAAACCATTTGGACTTCTGATTGGAACTGTTGATTGATCATGTGCCCCTCCTTTCTCCCTGTCTCCCAAAGGGGAGTGTCCTGGTTGTCCCAAAACTTATCCTCATTTCTTGGGAGGTCATTTACCCTTTATGCTTACTTGTGTTTAAGCTCAGCTTTTATTATAAAAACGAGTAACCATTTCATCGCTAGCCTAGCTGTGTGATTGTATGAATACAGCAGAAAGAGACAATAGTAGACCACCCAGGAGCAGAGAGAGAGATTGACACTTTGTTATTCCAGCAAAACACTGTCTTTCTTTGACTGGGGGTGCAGGAGCAAATTAAAGAGAATTATTTATTCATATTTACAACTTCACAGAACAGAAAGAAAGAGACTCTCTTAAAAGCAAACTTTAAAGACAGGTAAGCAGAAAGAGGAAATCAACTCTCCAGGGATGAAGATATATTTTAGGAAGATAGATTCACTGCCCTTTGGGACTAACAGAGAGAAAGGGAAGAGGGAGAGAGGAATCGGTTGCTCCAAACTCAGCCACAATAGAGCTCTGACTGGTGACTTGTGTTTTGTTTGGTCACACAGCTTCACTCCTAGACTCCTGACCTTTTACTCTTCGTGTATCTCAGTCTCTTAGACCTTACTGCTAGTGACAGTGGCATCCCAGACCTCGCACCTTTCTACCCCCCTTCCCTTAATATGGATGGGACTAATTTATTTGTCAAAGTCATGCCAAAATCAAGCTAAACACATACCTACATTCCAGTGAAAACTGATTTTCATAATGATCCTAAGACACTGAAGGGTCTTGACATTATTTGTAAATCATCAACTGTGACTTAAATTATATTCTTTAGAGTTTGAGTATTAAAATGCTTTACCACTTTATCACATTTTAAAAAACTATATATGTATATTTCTATACACGTACATGGCTCTGGAAGTAAAGAATCTGTATTCAGATCCCACCTCTGATGCCTGTTACCTCCATAATCTTGGGAAAATCACAGCCTTTCTGGACCTCACTTTCGTCATCTGTAAAATGAAGGGAACTATACTAGTTGACCTGTGAGTACCTCAAAGCTCTATGCCTATAATCTATAACCCTGATTCTGGATTTTATTGGAAAGCAAAGAGTTTAGTTATTCATGGGAAGCTTATGTCACTTTGTGGTTTTAAATAGCCATTTTCCTTAAAATGAAAAACAACCACTCCCATTGTTTATAAGGGAAGAAAGTTCCTGCAGTCATATGATGTATCATTGAGGGGCCACAATGGCAGAACAGAAAGAGAAACCAAGGTACCTTGTGTTCAAAGTCCTGCCTCAGTTGCTGATCTGCATTGGTAGAAGGAATTCTCTCACCAGAAGTTTTCTACATTGATGAAATCACAAGTCTCAA